CGAACCCATATATAAAGATACACCATGCTTTTCCATCAGTCTATGGCTTGTCACATTCCCTGGAGAAATCTCACCATTTTAGACATTTAACACTTCCCAGCAAGACCTTTGCTTTCCTGTCAATTGATAAAACATCAACACAAACTACACATGGATTGTATTTTCTTCTTAGTATGTACAGATTCAGTTGTGGCCACTAATTGCCACCGCGACATTGGCAAGATCGCTGTCCTTGTTAAAGCTGGTATTTTGTTTGACCCCTAACTTCAACCTCCCTTTACAACTTTAGGGGGCAAAAATAGTGTGGTGCCCCATGGTCTCCGTAATCAACTTCCATAATAATGAGATCGAATGGGAGGTGACACAAAGGACCGTGTGAGGCCAGGTATTCTGCCTCAAAAGAAAGCGGGTGACACTGTAACAAAAAATCTGCATTATCCCCCTTGAAAGACGAACGCAGAAAGTCAAAGTTATACGAGAGCGACATCGGAGTCGAAACGCCCAAGGGGAGCACATGTCGCTGTCAAGCAAGGGTGAATAGTGTGACCTTTTTACGCGCCCCTGATGCAGACGATAGCGCCACTGGTCTTGCAATGAACGTGAATATTTGGAGGGTTTAAGCAAAGTATCGTTTGCCCCTTTCGCCCGAAGGGGTCTATCATATTCTTTAGCCAATTACACCTTCTTTGTAGTGTGTAGCGACCAGATTAGTGCAATTATTGCGGTATACAATTCTTGGCGTGTAATTGCTGCTCTTGATCGTATGTCAATTAATTCATTGCTAGTAAACTAGATAGGCTTGCGGTAGCATCATTCAGCTTATTCATTGCCGTTTAAAAAATTACCGATAACTTGTAAGTATGGTTCTGAAAGAATGGATAGAGCTTTTGAATCAATATTTGTTGGAATCACTTAAGTTATCTATAATCAGCTCCGTTGAGCCCTCCTTTATGAATGTACATTTTTGGTACAACATGGGGAGGGGGAAGGGATGATTATAGCAAAGATGATAAACAAATGATTCTCTAAACAAAATGGAAAACTTTATTTGTAAACTTAACACTTTCCAGAAAACTTAGCATAATTAACTTGGCACAATTTGCTCAATTTTCGACATTATGACCTTGCTTTACAAAAATGGCTCTAACACCATAACCACTCATCCGTTATGGGTGCTCTTGGTGTCATGCTTCTTCTAAGAGGATTCCTCATTCACCCATAGCTATGCTTTAGGGTGAAAAATAGCCAAAATATGCTCGGACTTTTTTTTTTTTGGGGGGGGCACCCTGTAAAGGGGTGTTGCCAAAAACCACCCCGTCACATATCACTGTAGAATCCATCGTAAAATACCTTCCACCCATTGATGAAAGTTTGTGTTGTAAAACTGAGTTTCCCAGGCCACATTTTACCAAAGAAATACTTGGTTTGATTATAAATATTAACTAAAACTTAAATTCAGTCGTCTGTATAGTTCGCAGGTTTCATAAATTGACCCTCGTTTGTCTGCTTAACTGCGTAATTTCACTCGTAAATAAAAAATGTTGCATTAATGTGGAATGGTGCCATGGCAAGGGCAGATCGGGGAGGAGCAACTGCTGACACCACCCCCCCAAAAAAACCACCATTGAAAGGCGATTTAGGGGCCTGTTTCATTCTTCTTTTCCTTCCAAAAGCGTGTAAAAAGCTCCAAAATGCAGCATTACCCCTTGTAAAGGCCTTTAAAGATTAAATGAAAAAAGGTTTTTGCCCCCCGTCCAGTCCTCACCAACCAACCCCCCCCCCCTTTGCTCCCTAAGGTTTTGTTCTGGTTCTTCCATTGTACTATTATATGACCGCGGGATAAAAGTACATTAGTGTTTGTTGTCATGGCTTAACGAGGGGTAAAGAAAAAGTAACGGGAACCTGAGGAATGTGCCTTTTAATTATCATCATTCTTCACAATCGTCATTTTGAGCAGCACGATTTGCCATGATGAAATGTCATCACCATGTTTTAATTGCTTCGATTCTGTGGCATGATCTTTTGTATTTCCTCACGCCATTGAAACAGAATGTAACCATTCACACTTTCACCTCCATCAATTGTAGGTGTCTGCTCACGACAAAAGCATTATTCATTCAATACCGAGAGGGCTAAACACAGGCCTACGTCTCCGTGAAGAAAAATGAGTTTTCAGCATCTTGCATTTTTCAAATTGTATTCGAGTGGCTTTGTGTGTTGTCATAGCTAAACTATAAGTAAAATAATCTTCTTCGTGGATCCTGTCAGCTGTTTTCATCATCTCGCATTGTTACATTGTTTTAAGTTTGAGAAACAATTTCAAGATGGATTAAAAGAAGAATGGCTCGATATGAACCTAATTCAGCCATTATTCACCTTTAGCATTTTGACCTCAGAGAACTTTGCTCCCGTATCCGTGTAAACTTTGCAACATGTTCCACGCAATTTGCGGCAAGACCTCTCGGATTGCCCGCTGGCTCCGCCCAATTAAAGTGTGCCGCGTTGATTGACAGCCCCAGTTTTAGAAGACACCGCTTCCCATTGGCCGCCGAGCCCGCGGCTTCGTTTCATCGCCAACCAATCAAAGCGGCAAGTCAAACAGTCACCGCCTACCGGTCTCTTTGATATGTGTCTGCCCAGTGAGGTGGAACGTCAGCGCGTGTCATGTCCCCGCATTCTTGCCCCACGGAGAATTCTCGTCAGAACATTGGTAGACTTCACTTCATGCGCAAAGTGTGTTCAGAGTTCCAGCCTCACCACTTGCTCTTGAAAATCCAGGAATTTTATTACGGCTGGAAAGACTGTGTGCTTTTTTGCGGGGGATTGTTTGGAGGTGGATAACTTACCGCGATCAGCTGTCTGGGGAAAAATTTTGAACTGTTGAAGTTGTTTTGAGGTACTGGTACAACCTCTGGACAGCTGCGATGGATGCTAAAAAGTTACCGTATTGGGAGTTTTCGTGCCTCATTTTACTGTGCTTTCTGCCGGCCATCTCTAAGGCATCATGGATGTGAGTATAGCATACATCAAATTGATTTAGTACACAATTCTGATAGCTTTGCATGAGAATACATTTTAACCAATGACTTTCTGCTGAACGAGTTGATTTGTGACAAGTTTCCCTGCGCCCATCTATAGGCCCCTGTACCGAGTTTAACGCTCATTAACATTATTCGCCAGTAGACTCAGCTCAGTGATGCCCGTTACAGAGTAAACTCAGTCTGTACTTTGTATGATCTATTAAATCTGTCTTGTAAACCTGCTGGCTTTTCTCTCTGCTAATTTACGTGGTCTGTTCTCAAAACATGATCAAATTAAGTGATTTGCGTGAGATGTCTGGAGAGCCTGTCAGGTATGCGTCGTGCACGAATCCTCATGAACTATTTCGTCGTCAGGTAATTAAGGGTGAATCTGATAATCGTGTTTGTGTAAGGAAATGACCAACTTACTCAGTGTCCGCCACAGGCGTTCCGGTCTGCTGCTCGTGGTGGCATTTGAGAGGTAATTTTAGGTTTAGTAAAAGCAATCGTTTCCAGTTTTCCACCTTACGTTTTGGACTGGTGCATAGGGCGTGGGATTTCGAGAATGTGAGGGAATTCACGCCTCATGCACGGTCATGCGTGAAGTCGTGAGTTGAAGGGCGGATCCAGAACCGAATTTTTCGGGTGGGGGAGCACACTTTTTTGGTGCAGGGGGGGGAGTCAATGTTGATTTTTTTTCACTTAACCTGTAATTGCCTTGCTAAGGCCAGGGTGAGGCTACATGTTGGGACTTTTTACACGCTATTGGAAGGAAGGGAAAAATAGACCAAAATCGCCTTTCTCTCATAAAATTGCACCGTGGGGATGGCCCCGTTGCCCCCCCCCCGACCCGCCCTTACTTGAGTTTAGTGGTCCTCTGCCAGATGCGTGTTGTGCGGTGGTGGGGGTGTTACACTCTTTTAGGGGTCGTGTGGGGGCAAACTGCGGTGCGACGCGCCATCGACATAACTCAAGGTGGAAAAAACGCGCTAGTGCGTCAGTTCCAATTACTGCCGACTTTGTACAGAAAAACCATCAGTCGGTTTGAGCTGGGGCCGAATGGTTACCGTCACGGGAATTCGATTTGCCAATTTTATACCTCAGACAAACCATAATTTCATCAGGGGAACGAGGTTTCCGGGTTCAACGTAGCTTAAAAATTGGTCACAATTTTTTCTTTCAAAGTAAAACATCACTACCGTTGATTATAACGTCATAGATGTTAATAAATGCTTTTGACCGGAATTCTTTCTTGTAACAAAGTCTTACATGTTATTTCACTTCGTTCGATCCATAGAGTTCTGTTTATTCACAGCGCCGATTGTGCCAAACATGATTCAGCGACCACGATGTACGAGTTAGGCCTTAGACGGTTCCAAATGATGATTTATAATGCTGCACTTGTGAAATCAAATTTATTTGCAAAGTGGGATGAACAATTACGCAAACTGTGTTCAGTCGTCACGTGTTAATTTTATTATCAGAAAGTTTGATTTTTAGCTCGTTATCTTTACGTCAGTAGTAGACCCCTTTTCTTGAATAACTTTGTGCCTCATATGGTATTAGCATTTGTTTGGTGTTAGTCATGCCTAGTTATTAAATCGTCTGTGACGTCACGGGTATTTTCCCTCAACAAGCACAATTTGGGCTGCCCGAAAATGAAGATTTACAAGACAAGTGCATTGAAATTAAACATTTGGGCAAAGTTTTTTTCACAATACACAACAGTCTGATGTCCCCCCACACACTTGAAAATTTATTTTGCCAAATTGATTTCAATTTTGCTGATTTTTCCATCTTTCTCACAGGTGGCTCGGCATAGCGTCTCTTGGTACCGTCAACCAGCCCAGCGATACAAACCCACCGGCCAGCAGTAGCCCCGGCCTCGCACGGACGCAGCCGACTACCCTGGGCCAGTCTGTGTGTTCCCTCGTGCCCGGACTGGCTCACGAGCAGCGTACCGTTTGCGAACAGAGACCCGAGGCCATACCGGTGATCGGGGCGGGGGCACGGCTGGGCATCACCGAGTGTCAGAGGCAGTTCCGGGACGAGAGGTGGAACTGCACCATTCATGATCAGGAGCAGAACGCATTTGGAAAGGTCCTCAAAACAGGTAAGCTCGAATTACCAAACATTAAATTCCAACTGACTGGTACTAACCAGAGGTATTAAAATTTTGGGATAAGTTGACCCATTGCCACCTGGTATAACAAGACAGTGACTTTTTAGCTGATTTTGGCCTCCTCATACTTAGTAATGTGGCAAATTGTCACGAGACAAAATCTCTACTCATATGATACATGCACAGCTCGTGCATCATATACCGAACCCCACGAAAGATTCCCTTTGGCCAGCTGGCGTATCTGTGACGCTGTATTGACTGACTTAACGCTTCATGTCCTTAACTGGACAGGTTTTCTCTTAATGCGCTTGCTTTTTCCTCCCCTCTTCTTCCACTGTCCGTGGTCCATCCTTCGGGGCGGCAGACACAACAGTTGTCTAGTCAGAGAATTACTCGGGCCGTACCCCCAAGGACACCAATCTGTGCCAGCGAAGCCGCTCAAAGGGCCCGCCGCAACTGCCTCAATCGTACAGACAGATCCCTTCTTCCCATTAAACCCTACATAAAAAGATGTGTGCGGTCATCATTTTACACCCGTGCAATTTTTGTTCTTTTGCATTTGTGAGAAGAGCCGCTCTAATCGCAAAGCCTTATTCACCCATTAGTGAAACCCGACAGTTTCTTTTGGGGATCACTCCGTCATAATATTTTCTCAAGGTCTCAGGCTGCGCGAGCCCAATTGGGCGGCGAGAAGAGCAGTTTTGTCAGGTATCATCTCAGGGAAATGATGCACATGCAGTCTCGCACTTCGGCACTTTACATTGCTACTCATATCTTTCACGTGGTTAAAAATACACTCTTACTGCCTTGAGTAGTGTCAACGTGCCAGTAAGTGACACTCAATATTTAAAGTATGAAACTCAGTGCTCAGTTGTACAAAGAAGACTCGTAGAATGCTACTTTGTGCCCATTCATGAGGGTGCCCATGTCTTCATATAACCATGGAGGAACTCGAAAGCACTCATATTTGCTGACAAACTAATCGTTGTTATGGTGTCATCCAAACTGGTGTGCGGAGAAACCTTACCGGACTTATCCTTTGAAAACTCAAACTGATTTGTTAGGAAATCATTTCTTACTCCTCATTGATCTAGAATATTATGTTCATTGGGAATTGCGTCTTGAGAATTACGTTCTGTTCTTTTATCGCACTTCATGTGACACAGTCGATAAACGTGCAAAAATTCCAATTGTCTCTTGCGTCAGTTTCCCTTCAAGCGGTGTAATGAATAAGGCTTGAAACAATTCAACCTCTCACCAAACAACGCGATCCAAAAGAATGACGTGTGATCATTATCCCAAGTCCAAATATTTACCCAGCTAATTAAGCTATAAAAAAGGAACACGTTCGCGACATTTGGTTTTGGTGTGCCCAATCAAACCATCGCATGTTCAGGTTGCATTGCTAACTAGTCATTTTCATTTCTAGATTATTTGTCCTTGTTAGAAATGAAACTATCATCCGTTCGGATTGCCCAAATGCCTGGTCGCTGACCTCCATAGGCCCTATCATGGGGATTGAAATTATCCGTCCCTGTCTGTTTTAGCGCCCAACGCTATCACAGTCCCACCTCGTTCCTTTCTTTGATTCACTCTGCATCATCGGTGTGGGATAATCTCTTCATAGGCCCCACCATGTTTAATACCTTGGCCCCATTGGGAATCATGCCGGTCGGGGGATCAAAGGAGGAATATTTGTCCTGACGTCCTTTGCCCAGATCAGCTTTTGCCAAAGGTCATTATAAAAAGGTGTTGATTATTTATTTTGACCTAATCGTCCCCTAAACCCCTTGTCGGCTTGTCGTCTTTCAATATTTCGTTGATCCTTTCCCCTGGCCGAGTTCTTCAAAATCAGACAGACGAGGAGGTTTGGTGCGGAATAGAGGCTTTGCGTGGTAGCCATCTTGTAAGGCAGTTCTTTCGTTCTACAGGGAAACCTACTTTGTGCATACACTGTGGAACAACAGCACTGGCCTGCAAGATGGCAGCCATGCAAACCCTCCGTACAGACTGCCCGCAGTTGCAAACATCGTGTGCTTTCAATCGTGCACATTTTGTAGAAAAAAAGGAAAAAGGAGGGAATCGGTTCTCAGAAAAGTTGGCCGCCAGTACTGGCCGCCAAAAGCCAACTGGACTCCGAATTCAGTATTAGTTTCCACACAGCTGAGAGAGTTAGCGTATAAGGATGGAACTTCAAGGTTTGCTGATTTTTTGGTGTTTCCGTCTGGCTGTTTGTGAGAAGGAGAGGCTTTTTTAACACGTAAAAAATGGTTGGGTGTAAATATTCATGAACGTTATATGTGCGCTGTAATTTCAGAACATGTGATTTTGGGAAGCTAAGCAACCGTACCAATTTTTCTCTTGCACTTTAACTTCAGATGGTTTGTTTATACTCTACATTGCGGATCCTGGGATTTTGTTTAGAATATTCTTTCAAAATATTTCTTTTTCCCTGAAATGCAAAACAATATGAACGTTAACCAAAGCAGATTGGGACTTAGCAATTTAAACTAAAAAACAAAGAAACAAACAAACAAACAAACACCCCAACCAACCCCAACAACCCAACAAACAAACAACCCCGACAAACCAACCAAACAACCCAACAAACAAACAAACAAACAAACAAACAAACAAACACCCCCAACACCCCAACAAACAAACAAACAAACAACGCAACAAAACAAAGCAAACACACACACACAAAGACAGAGGGCTAGTTTCTGTCAATCATTTTGCCGATTGAGTCACTCCACCAGCCCGTCAAAGTAATCAAAATCAGTCATCTGGACAACAGAATGACAGTAACTAATGGTGTCAGGCGGGACCTTTCCAGCTCCCTGTTTGGGCATTTCTTTTTGTCTGTCTACCGAAACGGGACTTGCAACGAAAACACAACCTAGCTGATCATTTTCCAAATCCAAACAACCCGACTGTGTTCGACAACATGCCCGGAAGCAACGTGCGGGATCGGGTGAGCGCCTGGCCTGACATATGGCGTTTCCCGTTCCATAAATCTCAGATATCGGAGAACGAAAATCATAATTGTGTTCGATCTCCGCGACACTCACACATACCAAAGGCTGAGTGTGACAGACATTAGGGGCGAGTAATGTAGCCCTCCAATTACAGACTGTAATTTCATCGGCTCGCGTTTTAGTTGGTTAAGTCTTGTGGGCTGTGTGGATCGGCGCGACCTGGAAATTCCGGAACTGGACCAGACTGTGCGATTCATTGGGTCGTCACGGATTTCGGAACTTGTCGTCAAAGCCTAAACTCTATAAAAAATATATATATATATCGGGTCAGATGTTAAGACTCCTTCAGACTCGACCGCTTGGCGGAAGCAGACGGTTTTATCCCTTTCCGGTCGCACTAAACCGGTAACGGATTTTGTACCCGTATTCAGCTTTTTTCTCTAAAACCTTGCGAATTTAAAGGATTCTTGAAAAAGAAAATTGAGGATGAGGGCAAAGCCCAAGAAGTCGTGAGCGGGGCTCAGAATCCATCAATTTCAACTCTGGAGGTATTAGCCTAGAAAATTCCGGAGCGTTGTTGTAGCTGCACCAGAGTATTACCTCAATTTCTCCTATGTAAACAAAGGAAGAGTTCGTTGCCATATTTAATCTTATCATACACGGTTTGGCTGATGGGCTTGAAAATTGGATTTGGCGCGGGAGACATGTCGCTTGGAGGGTTTCCGCAGTTGTAACAACCACCAATTGATCTCTGACCAAGACGTCACCCGCGGTGTCTCCTGTGAACTTGGGAGTGCAGAAAGATGATCTCGTGATTGCCCAGGTGAAATATCTAGAGGTATATTGTCAACATAGGATGAGGACGATAGGACAAGGTCACGCGCTCAAGGACAGTGGCAACCACGAAACTAATTTCGTAATGATGTAAATCGTATGGCTGACGGTGATCTGGGGTGATGGTGTCGATTGTCTTGCCCGTCCCATGTTCACAGGTCTATCAAATCCTCACAGGTCCTTCAAAAGTCATCCAGTTTCCAATCAAGTAGCGGGCTCTCCAAATGTACTGCAACTAATTGGGCATCAATGGAGGATCTTTGGGCGGGGATGGGGCACGTAACGGGGGCCATTTTAGTCCCCTTGATGTGACCCAACTTGTCATTTGACTTATGATTGGCTGTGGCTGACTCCACTGCAAGTTAGGACGAAGGTGATCGACCATGGGGATGATGGACGATTTTGTCGACTAAGCCTATTACCGAAGATGCTTCACTCGTTTTTAAATTCGTCTTCTCTCTTTTTCCCCTCTTTCTGTTTCCTTCTTCTTTGATGTGAACAGGGAGTCGGGAGACGGCCTTCGTGTACGCCATCACCAGCGCAGGCGTGGTACACGCCGTCACCAAGACTTGCAGCCTGGGAAACCTGACAGACTGTTCCTGCGACGAGTCGCGCAACGGGATGGTCAACGCCGAAGGCTGGCAGTGGGGCGGCTGCAGCGATAACCTTGACTACGGCATCCACATCGGCAGGCAGTTCGTGGACGCCGGGGAGGTGCGAAGGGACGAGGAGGAAGGAAAAAGCAGCCGGGTCCGAGGCGCCATGAACCTGCACAACAATGAGGTTGGAAGACAGGTGGGTGAAATAGCAGTCTTCAACTTGGCTTAATGCACAGTCAGTGGCGTAACTACGGGGGCGCTGTAGTGGATGTTCTCAATCGCACAAGTTCCCTGTTTGAAATCTTAAAGCTTCAGTTTATTGCTGTCAGTGCTTCTTTCAAAAGGAAGGGTGTCATCCGTAGAAGATTAGTTTTGGTAATTTTAAGAAATTAGGGGTCCAACAGTGTGACATTTTGTGTCCCTGTTACACCTGACCCGTGTCATTTGACATGGAAATATCACTGGAATTAATTGCAAACTATTACTATTTGTTTGACAGGTAATTTGCATAAATTCATCACTCTTGGAAATCAGAAAATGTGTTCTGAACTTACAAAATCGTATGTCAGATGTGACAGAGACACGAAAAAAATGGACCCCTAATTTCTGGAATAACCCTTACACTTCTGAGGCACATTGCAAGTAACCGCGGAGTTAACTGTAACACCAATGACGCTAGACATTTTCCTCCTGTGTGTAAACATGAATACATTCCCCCCCCCTCAGTTTCCCTGCTCTAAGGCAACGCCCCTTATGGGCCTCATCTAGTTTTCTATCCATTCGTTTTGCTTCCTTGATTGTCTCTTGAGCGATCCCATGCGGTGCTACAAAATGTAAACAGTTTTTCCAAGCATTCACAATCCGCAAACAAGTAGGTATGTTTTCCTTTGTAATCGCCGTATAGACTTTTTAAAGAGGTCATAAAGTGTAGGGCTGTAAAAAATCTCAAAGCCTTGAAACTGTGCCATCTTTGTCTGGAAAATAGTATGCATCTGGGTACACACTGGTTGTCGGTCGTCTTAACGAACCAAAATGGCCTATTTACAATTAACTTTAAAGTGAGTCGGCAAGTTGATGGTAAAGAAGCGCCAATTATCAGTCTATCAAGGCTTGAATTCTTTGGAGCCACGTCTCATCCAGGGACGCTTGGGAAAAATAAAGGAACTCTTCTCCATTTCGGTTCGAAACAAAAGGTCCGTGAGTTCCACTTTTGTCGCCAGTAGGTTTTCCTACTTCTGACCTACATACCACTTGCCTAACTTTTACTAAACAGAGTCAGGATTATTTCCCTGGAAGTCAATTTTAAGTTTTGTTAACGTGAAAAAAATGACACCCGCCTATACACTATACTTGCCAACTGAAACAATTGCTTTGTCCGCAGTAGGTTTGCCCTTTCGGGGTGGTTCATGAGTGGTTACATCCTCCATCCAGCATACAACACGAAAAATGCAGTTTGAACGCTGGTTCGTTATTGGCGCGAAAGCGTATATCGCGATTTTGTTACGTTGGATAAAACGTTTACGCTATATATGAATTCGCAAAAGTTAAACGCATTTCGACTCGGTGATTTTTTTTTTCCACCGCAAGTGTTTCGTGACGTCAAATTTGCTTTGTTTCGGTATTTCTCCTGAAGTATGAGCCGGCCTTAACTTGAGAAGAGCAGCCTTCTTCCATCCATTTTTTATGATTTGTGCAAACACTGCGGTATCCCTCATTATGGGCTAGGCAATGTTTGCTGATGTCATCGTCGGCACATTTAAAGCCAAGGGGCCCCAGACAATTACCGGACCTTATCAGTTGGCCGCATACCTATATTCCTCCCGGGGATGCGGCGATTCGGTTTAGACAGCTGCGCCATGCCAGGACATTTTTACTGCATGTGCGTTTAAGTTAGAAATACAATCATGTACATGTATTTAGACAGAGGTTGTAAACGAGAAGCAGAAATTCCGACTTCCGTTTTTTGACTTTCCAACGACATCAGGTGTACGCAGTGCCATAACAAACACCCAAGCTCTCAGAATGTTAAGGAGAACAAGAACTTCCCCATAATTGCCCCAATTTCCGCCAATGCAAACTCGGACCCCATTCAGCACAGGCTACCCTAGATATTATAAACTTAGTTTAGCCGTTTTTTTTTTGCACTGTGTTCTAAATGGTTCAACAGGTTCTTCACTTCTTAGCTTTGTCGAGGCTAGCCTTTACCGAGAAATGGATATTAATATCTGCATCCGATGGTCATTCCATTTTATGACTAACTCTTCTTTCAAACCCAAAAGGGAAACCGCTGCTGAAGCCTCGAGTCATGACAGCATTTTTCATTGTCTTGACTGAGCTTACCTGGCAACAACCTCACGGTCACATGCAAATCGGTTCACAAAAAGGCGCAGCGTTTCGCCAAGCCTGGCTCTGTCACCACATCTGAGAGCTTCGCACCTTGTTGCGAGATAGCGATATCTGCTAAGCACCTTCACATTAACCACGATAAAGACTGTTGACAGGGTGGATTAACACGTTCTAAGCACAGGATTAAAAAATCAAAGCGCACGTAGAAATCAGCCGAGTTCCCGTAAAATTAAAGACGTCACGGACATGGTTTCGTCTGAATTCACCTTACCTGAAAAGTTATTGAAAAAGTGTCCCTGCAAGGAAGGGCCCTAAAAGAAATTTCGAATCCAGACCCCTTGGTGTACCGGTATGTGATGTGTGTGTATTCGATGATGCTCTCCTCTGAACTCTAAACAATTTCAATAAAATACAGTTATCACCAGTGGATAACTTTTAAAAGTAATATTCAATTTAATGACAGGATTTGGTATGGGCCCAAACGTATTGTTTTGCACTTTCAACCGGCGCCTTCCGTAGCATTACTGTTGTCACCCAGTTGCGTGTGCTTGTCATCATGATCCCTTTATGTGACAACGTATTTACCTTTTCAACCAGCAGAAAAAGAAACATCGCATGCAATACATGTACTGTGAAAGCCTCCTAAACCTCAAATACCACGATGAACGATACCACTGTTGACTTTCAATATCGCGCAAAAATGTGAAACCAGTTCACCTACCGCAAACGCCACCTCGTAAATGAAGCAAACTCTCCAAATAGGTCATAAATTATCCACTGGGCTGTTGCTCGCCAGCAAGGTCATTCCATCTCCGTCCCCCCCCCCCAGCCACCGGTCATAAAATCACGGGGCCGGTGAGGAGAGGTGCCGGAGTCTATTGTGAGGGGAGATCCCAGATTATCAGGGTATAAAAATTGGTGCCGACTCGGGCCATTGTTGCGGAATAATGAACGGGCAGCTGATGCCGTAATTACAACAAACGTAAGGGGATCCACGGAATAGAAATGACTTGTGAGCCGTCGCCAACAGTATAGACAAGACCAGACAGTACTGGTCTGTGGGAATGCTGTTAACTGGTCATTTATCAATCCTGACAAGAAGACGGACTTGTAATTGTCACTATAATTAAACCAAACAACCCCATTTTGATTTTTTTGTTAACAATGCAGTTTGTTCTAGGTCTGTTGCTTTTTCTGAATGATTAAAATGCCTCAAAAAGCCGATTGGTTATCAATATCATGTAAGAAAACCAAGTGACGTAGAGGTGTTCTAAAACTGCTTCCCCCAACTGACTTCAATGCAGCCCCCTGCTAAATTGGTCCCTCCTCTTCGCTGAGGATCAATTCCATGGTAACTGAGATTTTCGTTCGTACAATAACATTTAATGTCAAAAGAGCAAACTCATATGACAGGCACGTAAGCAGATTTTTTGTGTTGTTCATTTGCGGTAAACATTCTGGCTGAATACCGTCAATTTGTAACTGATTTTCCGAGCATTAAAGGAATTCAATTTTTCCCCCCAGCTATCGAGTTGCAATTTCCCAGTGGGTGCCAAGGGCGACCTCAAGTTGATAACCAATCTCATACTAACTGACGCTTGAGATGTCTGCCAATTACGCGCAGCGTGAGCGCGGTGAACCCAACGCCGCTCAGCGGCGGTCCGACACGGTCCTGAAACAACACCGCTAAATTGAAACAGTACACGGCGCTGCTCACAGTGTTTGACTTTCCCGCTGGAGTTATATCCAACTTGTTTTTGTCCCCTCGAGCTGTCACTACTGCTTACAATTACGGGCTCAGGATGTTTCCAAACAAAGTATCTTTTTTTGTCTGGTTAGCCTGACAATTTGCGGAGAAAGGAGCTCTCCATTCGAAATTTATCCTCTTCGTTATTTGGAATCGGATGAGGGCAAAAGGTGACTTCGCCCCTGTATAAAATTCAAAATTTGTCATGAAAACGACGCTTGGCATGCCCATGGAGGGGCATAGCGCATGCCTGTGTAGGTTACAGCCCTATAAACATTATAATTTTTTCACTGCATTCTCTGTAAGGTGTTTCATCACGATTATTTCACATGTCTGAAAATCCTGTGGTATTTTTGGCCTTACCAGTACTAAGATTGCTCCTGACTGAGTTGGGGCACCATTGAGATGAACGACCGGCTGCACCTCAGGGTTTGTCAGTGAACTCTTTTTTTTTTTGGATAAATGGTTATTTAATCTAGATATAGGTACTGCATTTTCTGAGCCGTGAAATCCTGCACCCTTTTCTGTGTGGCACGCACAGACGAAAATATCCCCTTTGTTGTTTCATTTTATCTGATGACATTTTGAAAGGATGGATCGACTGTAGTTAATCCGAAATATTTAATAGGTCTGACAAAACAACTCTTTTGGACTTATTATATGTATGTATGGGGAGAGTTTATATTTGTGCACAACATGGACACGTGAGCGCCCGCCCTTGTAAGGTCCCTAGGTCCGTAACTGAAAGAAAAGTTGACAAGACACGGAAAGGCACGCTGATCCCTGTGTGGTCCAGTCAGTGAGCGGACATGGCTAGGCTCCGTTACTCATCAAAGGCCGGAGCTTGTATGACATGCTTTTTTAATGTGTGCAAGCCAGGTGCCTAGAAATTGTGTGTTCCCTGACAGGCCTGGTTTCCGCACCTGCTACATTGTGTCGCTACATTGGGAGGAATGTGGCGTGTGACGAAACCTTTCTTCTGTCTCCCTTTTGATGTCGTCGCAGAGTGGATTAATCTGTGGAAGTGATTGTCCTCTCGTCAGATAAGTTACGCTTGGGACACCTGCAGCTGAGGGATATGTTTTCAGACTTTTCTCCTGCTTGGAGTTGTTGGAAGGGCACAGAGTGTTACCCTGGAATTGAGTTGCTATTTTAGTGGGTTTTTAGGTCTGATATTATCAAGATATGGGCCCCCACTAGGCCACGTCAATCTCTTCTAGGAAACAAGTTTGAAGAAGTTGCAGGTCACAATTGCTGTTAGTGTTAGCTGCTGTCGTTCAATTGTGTTCGATCCACTTCATAACCTAACTTGTTTAGGCCATATGGTGGCGCTGTTAGTTCGTTTTGCCACAGCCTGATCCACAGGGGGAAAAATCGCTGCCCTGGTTGGCAAAAACCCGCGGAGAAAAGCGGAACACAGGAAAAAACCAGCTTGATGGGGTCCTTAATCTCATCAGTCTTGATGGCATTTTGTGCATCAGTATTCTCGTATTTTGCATGAATGATAATTAAACGATCAACGCTATTGACGTCACAAAGTGCACATCTTCACACTAGCAGGTCCGGTGGCAACAGGGGACATGTCTGTGACTCGCTTAAGCTCGTAAAAACATGTTTAGCACCACTGCTCTGGAAGGGCACAAAAGGTTGCTTAATTTCCAAATTTCTCTCCCCGAATCTATTTTTAGCCCATATTTTCGTGTCTGTAAAGCGGACAGACACAGTGACAACCCATCTGTCCCTATCTATATGAAATCTAACAGTTGGCCTCCGGGCGTCTGTTTTATTATTGGCCTATTAGATTTAATTTAGCCGACGAACAGTCATCCAATTCTACTCGAGTTCACCTAAAGTTCATGTGGTTAGGCACCAGTGACTGGTCATTGTAAACGTCACTCCAAGATGACCTCTGTTCCGATCTAATACCTTGCTACCTTCTAGAAATCGGAACGTGAGTTCACACGCTGTACATGTACAGTCGAACACATACATGTACTGTACATGTAAGAAGAGCACTGATAACATATGTTGATAACAAGGCAACTTGTTGGTCCCACGTTTGTGTGTTTCTTTGTTTTCTACAACTGATAATTCAAGGCACCTGTTGCAAGAAGTTCGAAAGTCAGAAGGACCTTGTAACAGTGCTACCGTTATTACTGTCACACCAGTTTGTTGGCCCCTGTACCATCAACAGTAATTACACGTACACTGCTGATCAAGGACAATTTACGGGCACGGTAGACCTTGGGATTAAATAAGGATAATACAAAAGTTTTTGGATGTCTACACCCGCGTATGGATATTGACTTATTAACATAACATTGTTCTGTACGTCTCTGCTGATCACCAACAGGATTCCAGATCCCCAGAACTTCAGAGTTCCTGTCCCACGGCCTCCAGTGATTCTTTTGTTGATGATGGTGGTGCCATGGAGGACACCGGTTTGCCACATTAATTGTAATTTTCTTCTTACCTTTGTAGATGATCCAGCAGCTCATGTCCAGACAGTGTCGATGCCACGGGGTCTCGGGCTCTTGCACTGTCAAGTCCTGCTGGAACACCATGCCGGACTTCCTGGTCGTGGGCGACCACCTCAAGAAGCGCTACCAGCGGTCGGTGGAGATCCTCAACAGGCCCAGCAAGCGTCGGCTCCGGCGGAAGGACCGCGCCCAGCGTAAAGCACCCATCGGTCGCGACGAGATGGTCCACCTGGAGCGCTCACCCAACTACTGCGTGCGGGACCCGAGCAAGGGGATCATGGGCACGTTGGGGAGGGAGTGCAACCGGACCTCGGACGGGGCCAGCAGCTGCGACTTGCTGTGCTGCGGAAGGGGTTACAACACCCAGGAGGTGCGCCTGGTAGAGCGATGCGACTGCAGGTTCATCTGGTGCTGTGAGGTCAAGTGTAGGATCTGTGAGACGGTGACAGACCTGTACACGTGTAAATGAGGATGCAGTCTTCTCTCCTAGCGAAGAAATGGCAGAGACATTTCCTTAGTCACAAGACGGAGCAATAAAGACTTTAGCTCTTGTTTATACGCAGCAGTTGGAATGGCCTTGAAAAACTCGGCCACACCCTCAAGTCCCATGTCAAATCTGTCGTGAGATGGATAGGGGTGTGTGGGGAAAATAGGTTCCCCCATGACAATGGGACAAGACGAAAAACGAAAGCAATATGAAAGAAATGAAAGGAAGAGAAGCAAACTGAGTCACTATTTAAGCCACTTTCTTTGTGAATATTATAAAAGGTGTCTGTATTGTAATTTCAAGATTTTGTTTAACCTGCGTCACTTTTTGGACCAGCTTTTTCAATGGCCAAAGTTTGATTTTGTGCCAAATACACGTTTCATCCAGGACACACGCAAAGCTCGACTGATTAACCATACACATGGGCACCAGAGATACCCCAGCCAATAAGCACGGAATCACAGAGTCTTGGTTCAAGGGCCCCCAAATTTCCCTTTCCTCATTTCCACAATAACTCGTCGGGTGCCCAGCAGAAGGGCTTATTCAAGTGAACTTACGCCCTTTTGCCGGGAAGCATGATCACAGCAGAAAAAAATGTTCCCGGCGAAAGGGTGTAAGAAACACACTCTCTTTATTTAGTAAAAACGGATATAATTTACTACAAAATCAACCTGGGCTGTACAAAGAGCAACCTTTGAACAACTTATTAAAGGACTTGGGCATTTTTTACTTTTGAATTTTGTAATGCTTGTCAGTCATACATAGTGTTCGGGAATTTGTAAAAAAAAATGGTCCTTGCAGTCTATCCCCGGACTTTTGAAAAATAAGTTTTTACCAACTTAATACTTATTTTGAAATATCAAAATACCTTTTTGCATTTATTATTATTTAGCTCGTACCGTTACCAGAATGTCAACATTTTATTTTTAAGTAATGGTAGCGAGTAGTCATTGTACAGAGAAACTTGTAAATTATTTTGTAATAAAAATGTCCATGGTATTAAAAAGCATCAACATTAGAACAGAAATGAATGGATTGATTCTCTTTGAAGCGACTGCTCTATTCAGGTGTGCTGTGTCCCCCCCCCGTTTTTTAGACCAGACATTGATCTGTGAATCATGTGTGAAAGGGGACAATCTGGGGCAGTCAAGGGAGGGGTTGTGGGGTGTCTACATCCGTGGTTGATTCAACACTGAGGGAGGTTAAAGACATCTTCACATTTCTGCACAGTGGAACACCTTGGGGCACAAGCGTGTGACCCGGACGCGCAAACGGGGGGGGGGGAATGCTCGACAGGCTCGCCTTTTAGCCCCAACAAAGGCTCAGTGTAAGAGACGGGCGCTAGTCGATCCGGCCCGGTGTTCTCAACTTCCTGATTGATACGTGCCGTTGTTCAGACACGCCTTCCGACAACAGCTCTTTTTATGGGGGGGGGGTCTGATTGGCAGTAAACCGTCGGATTTCGTCTACTTGTACACTTAAAATTGAACTTAAGTAAAACGGATAAAAAGTGGACTCTAAATTTAGGCCTACTTGATGTTGTGGAATGTAGAATAAGAAAGATCACTTGAGAATTAGCGTTTGCATAACAACATAATAACCAAGGAAGATGAGAACATTAAGGATTGGGATTAGGCGAATACGGTTTGGAGTAATGATACTGACATGTACTTCCAAGAACACCACCCTACTATGTGATTAAGTGTATACTTCGTGCGAATTGGGTCGTCGCAAGTGAATTTGTCAACACCCGTTGGACTTGCGCCGGAGCCTCGTGAAACTGTTTCAGAAATATCCGAAAGTTATTCCTACACGTTAACATGCAGGAGTCCCACGAAAGGTGCGATCGGTTCCCGTTACGCCAAATTCCCATCAAAGAAAAACTACGTACCCCATCTCGTCAAAAATTATGAACTTCGACATAAAGAGGGAAGGATTTTAAAGCGTACCACTTCTTTGCCAGAAACAGAAAGAGAGAAAATACTCATTAAGATCAACGAAATGCTACTTGGCTGAGAAACAAACAAGCAAACAAACTTTGGACAGTGTGTTTCGGCTACAAGATAATGAAGCAAAGATTTACAAGTGAGCATTTTTCAGAGTTGATGGCTGATTTTTAAATATTCTTTTCTGGCTTGCAAACACCGCCTTACTGAACGGTGTTGGTCAAAACGCTAGGAATCACTGGAAGCTACCTCTCTTATTGATGCCTGCGTTATGTAGTGCGCACCAGCCGCGGTACCAGATCACCATGGTAGTAAAATCTGTGCAATTAGATCTTAGATCTACAAATAGGGTGGGGGCTCGATCTGAAGCCGATGGGGACGAGGGAGGCGATTACACGCTTTGACGTTTATACGTTAAGATCGCCAAAAGAGGGCGCTATTGCAAAGCGACCAACATTGATTTTTTTTTTATCGGACAACCTCAGCAACGAGACTGAATCAAAACAAAAGGTTGTGGTTAGGCCAGCCTGTCGCTATATGGCCTAGAGATGGCTTCACACATTCTTAATAATTCCACAAAGGGCGCCAACATCATAAGTAACATTCATTTGTTAATCTCTAGCTGTGTTCGAATCGGTCAGCATGTGGAGCTAGGTTTATGTCTGCGTCATCGTCCATGACGCATGGACGCATGGCATGACGCATGACACAGGAGGTGCACATGTTGATAACAGACATGGCTGCATCTTCAGCCTCCGGAAGCCCATGTGTTTGGTATTTGATGGTCAGTAAGAACAGTATGCAAGCATGACTAAAACATAATCAGCAACGCCACATTTACTTAAGAGAGCGTTTTCACAAAATGTAGCACTTACGTCCTGAGCGGACGGCAACGAAGTCAACGCCCGTCTCTTTGAAAGTGGACATTGAGCGATCCATAAATTTTCATTAAATACCCCGTTGCTGTCCTCGACAAGTCATAAATGGTCATATTAGACTTGACTAATCAACTGCAATGCCGCCTTAAGGTAAAGTATCTCGACTTAAAAACCCAAACCCGAACATTGACAATGAGAATGCAAGCATTTGACGGCTGTTTCGTGATTCATAGTTTGGTATGTAATGCAGTGTGTGTGATGAGCAGCCGTGTGTCATGTTGAGAACATAAAATCTCTGTTTGGCACCCTCCGTTAGAACACAGGTAGAATACAGTGGCGTAACTGTACTGGGGTACATTTTGCAGGGGAAAGGGGGGGGGGCTCTCGCTTTTTGGAGGGAGGTACTCTATTAGTCTTGATCACCGTTGAAACACTGATCAAGGCGGACTATAACCAAATTTTTTCTTTCTCTGATTTCAGGGGGGGGCACAGGCCTCTCGAGCAGGGCAAAGACAGTACCGTCCCCTCATTACGCAAATGCTTGAATAGGTTTATCACTTATAAAAACGCACGGACATTTACAAACACTTCAAAGAGATAAACATGAGAAATACAATCAACACTTGGTGGCCCTAGTCATAGAGGGTCTAGTCTGACTTGATTCCTGTTGCACCCATCTTGGCCATTTCAGTACTGCCCGAATCATTATGGATTTGTGGTTCCAATAACTGTCAAGAAAAAAAGTAACAATAAAACCGAGCTATGATATCCGAGGATACAGAATTTTACTAAAACGATCTGCTAAAAGCACAAATATTATCAGCCTCCACTCTGCAAAAGGACGAAGGACTATCAACGTTCTACCATCGCTGCTGCGTTGTTTGGGGTTATCAGTCCTTTTCTTCTCTCTTTTGCTTTTTTTCAAATTACAGCCATAGCTAGAAGATATGACAGGGAGTTCTACTCCCACCAGAAGTCGCTGTGCGGTGGATGCTCAAAAGGTGTATAAAACATCTGCACCTAAAAGTTCGACGTCTAATCGAAGAGAAGCTTACAATCTTATACAAGCTCATTTCTTTAGGAAAATCGTAACCAAATGCATGCGCAAGTAACCTTACCAGAGAGTAGTGAAGATAAAACAGCCGTTTGGCACGAAGACAAATTAGCTATGTCCGTCCTTTCGTGAAGCGGTAGTTTCCTGTCTGCGGGGTATCACGATGACGGCAGGTGTCTTTAGAATCGCTTTGTCTCTGATTGCTTAATCGATGACTGTTGCATGTATATCCAATTAAAACACTCAATAAAAAAAAGATGTTTAAAGTTTTCCTGAAATCATACTTTTAGATGAAACAGCCGTATTCGTGACAGCGACACTTGTCGAAACCTACAAGAAAGTTGTTCATTTCAAAAGGGGATTTTCGTTTGAACGACAAATCGGGGATACGCGTCACAAAGAATCTCCCGTATCATTTACGGATTTATAGAATACTCTATCGAGCAAAAGCCGATGGGAAGGGTAGATCCGTGAAGGGGGGACAAAGCCTCCCCCGCCCCGCCCCCAGCACTGCCTCTCCGATAAGTGACTTACGGGCCCTTATCTCATTTGCTGCTGCCAATGAAAAATAACGCTCATGACACTGATAACACGACATTGTGGCGGACCTGTCATCCCAGCGAGCTGAAAGAGATCAGCAATGTTTATGGGTACTAAGCTCAATTCTTCTGTCCCAACTTTGTGTTTGAAGTTTCAACACCGTTTGCTTTATTGTATCCATTGCGTCGAGCATTGAAAAAAGGATCTTGCTCTCTGCCTTGCATTGTCTGTCGGCCTAAAATGACGACGGAGTAAGGGACAGACGCTGAGCCCAAGCGGAGCTTAGTTTGAGGAAAAATCAGTAAATATAAGCCAATAATTGGCATCAACCATGTTTCTGGTTCTTCACAGCAAGACAAGTGCCAATTCGAGGGGGGGGGGAGCGGGGACCATGCACCCATTTTTTGGGGGTATTAAGATACAAACGATTCTGACATTTTTTCTGTTCTTTCGCAAAGCTGTGAAAAGCACCAAAATGTAGCCTTCACTCTCAGAAAGGCTATAAAAGATTACATAACAAAAAATCAAAATATTTGCCCCCCCCCCCAAAAAATGAGCCATCCGCTCCAATGGATTCTCCGTTGCAATAAAGTAAAGATATTCCTCAATTTCACAGTTATTACTTCGGCGTACTTATTGGTCACACATGCTCATCTGCAAAATACGCTAATATTAGAGAAAGGGGGTTTGAATCATGCGAAACGACTTAAAGAGTTGATCGATCAGTCTTATATTTAACAGTACTTATGCATATCAGCCATTTCTGAAGAAACATCTAGAATTATAGGCCCAAAATTTTGAAAATCAAACAAATTCTGTGCTTTTTCACTGTAAACTACTTAGCCATCATGGGGTTGTATGGATGGCAGCAAGATGGAAATGCAGGCCGGAGGAAATAATTTCGATGACATGTCTGACATTACACTTATCCCTCCCAAAGAAAGTTATCAAATGATCTCGTCAGATAGTATCCTTTCTAGATTTTAAATTTCATCTAGCTCAAAGAAGTACTCACCACCTGCCTCCGTCCTCGTTATCTTTCTGAATTAACTGCCGTGCCCGAGCAATCACAGGTATTCTTCTGTTGGGGAACTGCTTCGTTATGGCTTTACAGCCTCCAAAGAATTTTCGTGTTTGGGTGAGATGACGTGTGTAATCCCTTTTATCGAATAGTAAATAGTCATTTTTGTACGCAGCTGAAAATAGGGAGGAAATGATAAAAGAGAATTTTTTTCTGATCTCAGTAGGTAGAGTAAAAACTTTACACTAGAAAATATTGTCCTGCAACTTTTTTTTGTATAGTTTGAATTTAAGACCAGTAACGGAAAGTGATACATGTATCACAGACATCAATTTAGATGATTGTTCACAAGACAAATTATGCGACAGAATTTCTGATTCCACTCCACATGAGGTCATTTACTGATGTTGTATCTGTCCTGCACACAAACCTCATATTAATTATCTTGTACTTTCTCAGTCCAGTAAAAATGTCACGGCGGGCGAATATATGTAATTAATATATCAACAACGTTATAGCTTCATTTCCGTTGGCGCGAAAGAAGACCCTATCGAGTTGGCGGTAATCGCACGTTGGGTCCATTGACATTTTAGCAAAGCAGGTGATATCGCCTTGTCACCGGGCAAGTGAAGCGGAGAAGCTATGAATTTATACCTTGTTTTTCTTGCTCTGTGTCGCAGCGCCGGTGGAAAACTTTCCGCTGCGCCGGCCAGGCAATCAGTGAGACAATGACGGCTCGGCCGGGGCTCGCGTCAAAACCACCTGCCCAGGCAGCGCAGGGAAATCATCAGCGACTCGACTCCCTCATCAAAGCCCATAAAATCCCCCTGCCTCTTACGCGTATGCTAGCCATGCATGGCGCAGCCAATGGCCCAGGCAAACCCCAATGACTTCCGCCGAATCGATTTCTACAAATCACTTTCCATACAGGGGGGGGGATAGAGTCAAGCTCACCGATCTCCGAGACAGAGAAATGCAGGGAGTAAGCTCCGCGTAAAATGCGCCCAGCTCATTTTGTACGTCTCATCTGCCTTCCTGTTCGTCCGATCGTGCGCTGCTGACTTTTTTTCCATCTCTTTTCGCCAACGATAACATTGGGGAGCTAGCCGAACCCACAGAGCAGGTGTTTTTCACCGTGTAACCTCAGGCATGGATGAGCCGGGGTAAAACCGGCCTGCGTCCGACTCGATACGCTACTTTCCCGCTCCTCGCTCTCGCACCTCCGTGTACCACCAGCGTATTGGCCGGGCCCAAGCAGCGTGGAGACACGGGCGTATAAACACAGCCAGCGCGTCGCCGGCCGTGACCGCGTCCTGATCGATAGGGCGATTCTGCAGGGAAAGGATTTCTGGCCGTCCAACTGCTCCCTTCGAGATCTGGCACGGTAAGGAAAATATATTATTTTTTCAGGGAATGTCTGGTATTGCAGTTGAAATTGATTTGCGATAAAAATTATATTTAATTGTTCCCACAGTACTGAAATAATCCGAAACTAGCTTTTTAAACCGAGAACTCAGCAATTTTTGGTCCGAACTTTACTCTTTTTACAAGGTACCGATAAGACAAATGTCAGAAATGACCTAAATGGTATTAGTTCTCATCTACGATGGAGGGAAATGCCAGAAGGATGTTTGAATTGAAAACCCTCCATAACTCAACTGATTGCGTATCTTTAAAAATGCCCACATGATCTTCGTATTGACTCATACTAGCCGGTTTGGCATCATTCATAATTTAATTATTAGAGTTTATGTACACGTATATCAGGCGTTTGGTAATGTAAACGAAATTTGCAGAAGAAAAATCGATTTCCTCCATTCCTTTGTTAAAAAGGCAAAAATAATGACAACATTTCAATTAAGTTATGTTAGTTCGTTCAATTTCGACAATATCGTCTGATGTTTCCATCGAGTGAAAAGAATCCAATATATTTCCTTTTCAGAATTTATGCGCATCTTACCTAATTCCATACCCGCATTCAAGTCGTAAACCTTGCAAAATCGTTTGTAATGATCATTAATTAACAATCAGTGACCTACAAGCTTGCTGTTTCTTGTTTGCTCAGGTTTGCAAAATCGCATGTGATCTTGGGACTAGAAAGGTCAAGTTCGCCAATAAAAATGCCGCACACGGGTAAGTTGAGTAGTCTTCCCTCTCAACAATTACAATGGCCGATATGCATTGTAAAATCACAATCACCTGTACCGACGTCTAATGATTTCCGTGTGTCTTTGAGCAAGGAATGGACTGAGTCTATATCAATGATTGATCGTAATTATCAAGAAACGGGTTTCTTGATAATTACGAGTGTACACATAATGGACAAAATGGTCGTGTTGGTTCTATTCGCAATGTGTTCAGTATCTTTGGATGGGATCTCGGTGTGGGACGGACAGCCATTTTGTAAATCCAGACTTACATCTCCACTTTGAATTTTATTTCATCACTAACATTTCTTTCCGAAACTCAGAATTCACTGATCACATCCCTCTCTTAGCATTTCAAAATTCATTTTAAAATTACTTTTGATGATAATATCGGATTTAATAATTACCGCTCATGGATCATTAGGGAGACATTCCCATAAGAACGTGCACAAAATGTTTCCAACTTTACTGTCCCATAATTCAATATTCCCTAGTCTGATCTGAACCAAACTTTGTTTTATGTTTTCAATTTAGACCCTAATCTATCATCTCTCAAAATTTGGCCTCCTTCTGGTAGTTTGAAAATAGGGAGACACTGAAATGTCTCCCTAAAAGCCAATGTCTCCCTAATGCTGAAAAATTGACCACAAAATGTCCCCCAAATGACCTATTTGTAAACATAACTGTGCCATGTAATGTTTCATGGATCAGACCTTTGTTACTTAGTACGCGACACTTGCAAAGCCTTAGCGTCCGACGTTCCCACGGTTAGCACTTGATCTTATGATCGGAACAGAATCGTGGAGGGACATGTTTTTCGTAGACGTTTTCGTTATGATTTCGCAGTTTCTCTAAATTGGTAACTGTGGAGGCGATTCGGACCTTAAGTTAGTTTAACCAAATTGCCAGGACGATAGATTGTAAAAGGAATTTTTTATCAAGAGTTTTTTCACTTGAGAGGGGTCTGAAAGTCAACATAATGCTGCAAGTTCATTTTACACTTGTGACATGTAATACGCTATGCTCGATTAAAGCGATTTCAGGTTATAAGGAACAAAATACGCTGGACACTGAATCTTACAATCTGTGCTCAAATCTCAGAGGGTCCTGCTTCATTATTCATGGCTAAATCGCGCAATCTTGGTTAATAATTAAACTGCTTATTTTCCTGATATTTATGAATTGAAGTCATTCTGAACGATAGCAAATACAAATGGTGCAATTTAGCCCGTATACTTGTACGCTGTTTTATCCAAGTTAGTAAATTCTTATGATTATAATTTAATAACTAAAAGGTAGTGTATAGAAACGTATAGAAAAGCTACATGTTAACATGTGTATTTTCAAATCATTTAAATCATCTGCTGTAGAAATTGCAAATGTCGTAAAGCAAAATAATCAGTAACTACGTGTCTTTGGCCCCATGGTGTAACGGTTAGCACTCGAGACTCTGAATCTCGCGATCCGAGTTCGAATCTCGGTGGGACCTTATTTTTTTTAGTGACATTTTGTTATACCCCGATAAAAGTTTAGCATTTTGAAATAAGGAAATTTGTTAACAGAGGTTAATGTTTCCAAACTGTTTATTTTAAAATACTCCTTGACATTTCGATTCAAAGAGAGGTTTAAACAAGTCAATCCTTTAAAACCTTGTGGCTTTCCTTGATTTTAATTATGTTAACGTGATTTTTTGTAGAATCCATTGAGCTGTTTGAATCGAATGTTTCAAATCCGAACCACGCTTTGGTAGGTAAGTCCTGTGGTGTCATGGTTGGCACTCGAGACTTTGAATCTCGCGATCCGATTCAGAATCTCAGTGGGACCTCTTCCCCTCCTCATAAGTAACGTACAATTTACAAAAATTTGGTCATTATTTTAATGTTACACCCAAATCCTTGTAATCTATAACGTGTGGTATTTTTCAGAAAATTCTTTTATTTCTACCCTATTTATTCCTTTAGTAATTAACACCTGTATGACAAGACACTATACAATAGGTTTAGAAACATGTTTCATGTAGTGGTTATATTCAATATTAAAAATCTGATTTCAGAATACCAAGTCGCCCAACTTGTTGAGAAAGTTTGATGTTGGTTATAAATTATAAGATGGGATTCCAGTATGACACAACGATAAAACAGGCTACGTTTAAATAAGATTCGAGATTAATCTCCTTATTTGATTGTAACGCAAATACTTCATTTCACATTTCTGAAGTTAAAAACTTCATTTTACATCGGAGGGAATGAGTTTTCGCCCACGTGGAATGAATCATTCATTCCATGTGAGCGAAAACTCACTCCCTCCGACTGAAACTAGGAACAACACTAATTTGGGTGAAATTTACGCATTCAACTGGACCGAAATTTCACCGGAATTTCCACCAGGTATACACGAGGTTCCATTTTCACACTAAATTTAAGTGATTTTCAATCTAAATAGTATGGTCCCTAGGTTTGCTCTTTGAAGATAAAGAGAAAAATTATTCTAAGGGCCAGGGAATAAGAGCACAAACGACACAGAACTGGGCGTAACGGTCCCATGGTGTAATGGTTAGCACTCGAGACTTTGAATCTCGCGATCCGAGTTCGAATTTCGGTGGGATCTTCTTTTCTTAGAAACAGTTAAATTCCAATCAAAATGTTTTGTTCATGTTCATGCCAATAGAAGAGGAAACTTCAAAATTCTTTGAGGTAATTACTTTTTGTGACGTTTTTAATATCTTAAATTAACGTTGTAGACTATGAACGTTAAAAGTGGGTAACACTACTGGCACTTTGTCAATACGTACAATTATTAATTATCTCAAAGGTTTCAATATTTTGGTTTGTTTTTGTTTTTCTTTTTTCCGCTCCTTTTTTCCAGTACTGTGAATACAACACCATTGTATAACCACACTCGAGACTCTGAATCTCACGATCCAAGTTTCAAAACTCGACGGGACCTTAACCTAACTCATTTTGACTTTAACGAATAAAATTAACGCAAAGTACCGAAGTAGTCGACGGTACGAGTTTGAAACAATTTCGGACTTATCTAGATGATGCGAATGAGCTCATCTCGTGATTTTGATGGGGCGTGCATGGCCAACTTATTCACTGAGACCTAATCCCTTTTGAAACTACATGTAGTGGGATATCTGTCTCGAAAAAAAATGAAAAATAGACAGCTGGCAGGGAAGAGACAATGAAATCGCTGATTTGAGAATGATTTAGGTCGATCGGCATGCATGGTGAACGATCATCACACAGTTTGCCCTTCAGCAAATATTCACATTTTCCTGGTCTCCCCTTTGATTAAGCACCACCATAACGGCGTGTAAATGTTTGTCATAAAAGGTGGCCTGAAACGATAGCAGAGATTTTTTTCTCTCTCCCCCCCCCAGGTCAAGCTGGCGTGAATCAACTCGGCGGTGTCTTCGTCAACGGCCGCCCGCTGCCGGATTGCGTGCGAGCTCGCATCATCCAGCTAGCGCAGCTCGGCGTGCGGCCCTGCGACATCTCTCGTCAGCTCCTCGTCTCGCATGGCTGTGTCTCTAAGATCTTGACTAGATTCTTCGAGACTGGGTCCATCCGGCCGGGCAACATCGGGGGGAGCAAGCCCAAGGTAAGTTTGATCTCTACTGCCCTGGGCGATTATGGAAAGGACCAATGCAGATCTTAGAATCAGACGAGGTGATGTTGCTCATCAAGACTGAATAACTCCAAACTGGTTCAGTGAAACACCATTCATGATGCATTGGGCACGAAACCGTAATTCACGATAAATTGAGGCTTTGATAACGTTGGACCTGCCGAGGTCTGCCTCCGGATTGGAGTGCCGATCATTGGGACAGTCACACTTTACCAAGTATGACGATGACAATGACACTGTGGCCAAACGCAAAGACGAAGGCTAGGCAAGAATGGAGCGCCAGAAGCGACAATGAAAAAAATGGATCAGTCTTTGAAACTGATCGTTAGTAGGCGGGGTCTTCTACAGTACACGATTCGAGCGAAGGCAAGACACTCTCAAGGAAAATATTTATTTGATAAATATCTTTCTGCTGAAGAAAGGCTGACAAAATTATTTTGAAATAAAAACACACTGACTGCACAATGACTCCTTTTTGTTATGATCTGTGCTCGAAGATTACATTACTTTTGCGGATCGATATGGCATGCTCCTTATTCGTAATATGGAACTGATTGAACCCTCCGCTGCACAGGGCCGATTGTTTCCTGTTAATGCTCAAAGGGAGTCATACGTTGATCATGTAAATTCACTGCACACAGCCTATTTTTTTACGCTTATTGCACCAAGGGGATCTTTT